AATAAACTTGATATGCGTTGCTTATTCGATCTTAACGAAATTTTAAATGATAATCAATAGATCGGGATATATTCTGTATATCAACTTGAAGGCTTTAGCTATACAAAAGTGATTTTTATAGTTATCGGAAATCGATTTGTATTGTATATATATGAAGTAAACTAGTTTCTGATATCAACTTTACCTTGACCTTTGATACTGATTAGGAATGTATCTATTTTCTGGTGTCTCAGAAGGGTCTATCTGTCTGTTAACTAGTTAGGCACAATGACATTATACCCCATCTAACAATTTGTATAGATTGTCACAGGGTAATTATTAAGGCAATATGTGAATAGTCTTCTAACGCTGACAATGCCATTAAGCAAGTGGAACAAAACGACGCTTATACGGATATATAACTGGCCACCAAATGGCATTTCTATAAGTATGGATAATTATGACTATCTATATGCCACACACTCGCATTATAATTATGCAGAGGACTGGGTGGTCCGTCACGTCTTTATGTATTGAGTTTCATTTTATGCTTAAAGTATAGTTTTGAATTTGATTTTTATTGCGGCACAACTATAACTGGGCTCTCTCGCACCCAATACGCTCATGGAGTTGTTGTATCCATATGCGTCTTTGCTTGGCATGGAAAAGTTTTTTTTGGGGACCAGCCGCTTTTAATGTGCCGTGTAATTAAGTAGTCGAAAGACCGTGGGGGGTTGTCTGGGTCTTGGCTAAATTATGCCTGTCTGTCAGTCTGGCCACGAACTTTTTTATGATTGATTGGTGCGCCTGGGCTTTCTATGCAATGGTTAGATGGATGGATACACTGCAACAAACTAAATTGAAATATCCGTAAATCCAGTATGTAATAGTTCACTGAAGTAATTCTTAGACTTATTTAAGTTTCTCTTAAGTTATATTCGTGTTATTTATATTTATTAAAAAACAACAATTAATTCTCAATTTTTTTCGCGTTTATTATTTGTCATGGCGACTATTTATTTTACTTGATTCAAGAGAACAATTTGTTTCAACTTAGGAATTGTTATATACATTTATTTACTTTCTGTTGTTCTCCATTTAATATAAATTTAAAAAAAGGTGCTCACAAGCAGCGAGTAGCTGGTTCGACTTGAAAATGTGTGTTTCTTGTCTTTTGTGTGTGATTTAGTTCGAAGGCATTTTGTATAATGCACCTGTCGGTGTCAAGCGGCAGTGAGTTGCCGTCTCTGTCATGCATTCGACACGGCACAGCGGCGTTGCATAGTGCATCTCAAACTGTGAGCTGTGGGATTAGCCAAACGCTTCGGATTAGGACCAAAATGTGCATTTCTAATGAAGTTGTTTCCCCAGTTGTCGTCTCAGCTTGGTGGGCCTTCTTTACAAAGAAAATGCAGCATATACAATTTTCTGCTTTAGAGTAAATGCAAAAGCAACAACAGCAGCAGCAGCAGCAGCAGCAGCAGAAGCAGCAGGCAGGAACAAAATCAGCAGCAACAACAACAAACAACATGAAAGCAAACTGAGGCAGGGGCCATAAATCAATTTGTGACATTTCCTCACGACGCGACTTCGACGTCGACGTTGGCTGCGACAGCGACAGCAGCTGCGGGTGTAGTTCAGCACTCAACCCAGCAGCCAGCAGAACACCAGAAACAACAACAGCTATACACTCAAAAAAAAAAATGTTCTAGAATTTAGTAAACTTTAAAATTGAAATTAGATAAAAAATTTGTTTTCCCTACAAAAAATTATTAATTATTATTACTGATAATATTTTTCGCAAGAGTTGACAATTAATTTTTTCTAATTCTTCGAAATATATTGTATATTTTGAAGAAGAAAATAGTAAAAATTAAAATAAATATCTGTTATTAAAAATAAACAATAATAACTGTGTTTTTTCATAAGTAATTCTTATTATATTACTTATATTAATAATTCCTTAAAAAATCCTCAATTAAAAGAATCGTAACAAATATATTATATATAAAAAAATAATAACTATTTTTTGTCGAAAGGTATTTCTATAAATATCCATTCAATTAACAAGACAAATTTCGACTGTCACAAAAATATTTTATTCAGTTCCACTTCGTAAAAATAAATTAAATAATAAAATACAAATATAAACAATAATAATAATGTATATTAATACAAATAAAAACTAATAGCAGTACTTTTTCAAATGTAATTTGTACATTTATTTAATGTAATTTACAAATTCAGTTAAATATTTAAATATAAAACTAGACAACTTTTGGGAGTTTTGTAATTTTTTGAAGTGCAGGCACAAGATTGATGGTATGTCACATGGCCAGGCAACATTTGGCCAAGCTTGTTGTCGATAAAACAGAGAGAGAGATAGAGAGGGGGGGGGGGGAGGAGGCAGGGGTGTTGCAAGGTGGAAGCTGACAAGCGTTAACAGCAGCAGTCGCGCTGTGATGGCTCAATCGCGCTCACAGTTTGAGCTGCACTGCAAGTGCTGCCAAATCTAGATTATGTTTATTTTTAGTTGATGTTGCTGCTGCTGCTGCTGCGGCGACCTGCGGCATTACAACATTGTTGCGCCTTCCTGCAAGTTTCTGAGAATTTTGTGTGTGTGATCTCTTTTTTGTTTTGTGTTGTTTAGGTTTACTTTTTTTATTCAGCTTGTGCTGTGTGCCCAGGGAAAAACATTCTTTTAGGCACACACAAAAACACAAACACAAAAAACACACACACACACACACACACACACACACAAACAAATTATGGAAAAAATTCCACGAACATTGCAATCGGCGCAGTCGCCACATGCGGCGCAGCTTAAAAGAGACGCCGCCGCCGACGCCGTTGCCTGCGTTGGCAGTTGCAACAGCAACAACTGTTGCCGCCAATGACTTAATTAATAGAGACAAAGTCAAAGTCGCTTTCGAGTTTTGAAGTTTGCGGAAATGACGACGACGTCGACGACGGCGACAACGAATGCTGCATAGCTAAGCAGCAGGAAGTGTCGTACTCTATCCGTTTCTCTCTCTCTCTCTCCCTCTCTCTCACTCTCTGTGTCTCTCTCTGTATCTGTCTCTATGTGGCGCACCCACAAGAAATGCCACGCATAACTTCAAAAAGCAAACAGCAGACATTAAGCACAGGCAACCTTTTGGCATGGCTTATTTATGGTTTGACTCCCGCGCAGCCGCAGCGCCGCTACACTGAAAGAAATGTGTTCAAATTGTTAACTGGGTATACAAAAAATTAGCAAATTGTTAACTAGAATTGTCGGAATTTTGATAATCATGACTCAAATTAGCTCAAACACAATTGATTTAATTAACTGCAATCTATGGCAAATATATAATTGCTTTAAGCATACAATATTTAAGCCAAGCATTCTCAATTTTTGCAACTTCAAAATTCAAATTCAAATTAAAAAAATATAATAATAAATAAGGGAAAATAAGTAAAATATTTTGCTAGCACACATTTCAAGGCATAACTCTCACTTTTCATTTTCTTGTCATTTTTCTGTTTATTTAAATAATTATTTTAATACCAGCTTTGCCATGAATCTTTATCCTAGTTGTTGTTTTGGTGTTTTTCTTTTTTGTTTTGTGTGTATGCTTTCCATTTGGTCGCCTCTCTGTGTTAACGGTAGTCATAAACTGACTGCACAACAATAAAGCCGTCTTCCTTGCAGTCAAAGCCACTTAAGTCATTTTTTAGCTTTTTCAAAAGAACAACAACAACAGCAACAACAATAATGTTTCTGCTTCTGCTGCGTGAACACGAAACAAAAACCTAACAAAAAAAAAGAACAGAAAAGAACAGAAAAGAAAACTTGATTTAGACCTAAACGCTGAGCCCCATTTTACTGGCGGAAAATCTGTGAAAAGCGATAAAAGCAAAAGGAGTTTGCCACACAGACTTTGAGAGAAGAAGACAACAACAACAACAACAACAACAGCAGCAACAACAACAATAACAACAACAAAGCCCAATCTTCAGATTGAGACGTTTCATGCTCTGCTTGGAATGTCTGTCTTGTTCTTCTGCCTCCTCTTCTGCCCCTCCTCTGTGCTTGTGTGTGGCGGCTGGGTGCGGCGCGTCGCGTCGCGTCGCCTCGCGATGTTGCCAGAACATTTGAAGCGGCACAGTGGCAGCAGCGTGTAAAAGCTTCGAGAATGTTTCAAAGGTTGCAATTCTAAAATTAGACTTGAACTTAAAACTCGTGTCACTAAAGTCAAAGAAGTCTAATTTAAATATGAATCTCAGCTCATTCTAAGGGATTCATCAAATTTGATTATTAAAATCATTCATTTCATGCAATAAATTTTGATCATAAATTAGATTTACATTTGAATTTTCAAGAGTAAATTAGGCAATTAATGCAAATAAAAATGTACAAATAAAATTTACAAGTTTCACCAATCAATCAAAGTCAAAAGTCAATAATTGACTGTGGCCCACTGTGCGATGACTGGACGGTTAAAGGTTCAGGTTCGATTGAGACGTTAGCGTGCTCCTCATTATTTGGGTCTCAATTTCCGTGCAGCCGACGAAGACGAAGACGAAGGCAACGACAACGACGAGAAAGCCAGTGAGAGATGTGCCACAGCTTATGGTGTGGCCTCAGCTGAACCGAACTTAACTTAACTGAACTGAACTGAACTGAAACGAACTTAACTTAACTTAACTTAACTGAAGAGCAGCGCTGCCAATTGCCAAACAGACGATTATAGGTTGCAGCTGCGCCGTCGACGTCGACGTTTGTGTTAGTTGGGCTGGGTTGGGATGGTGATGCTGATGATGATGATGATGATGGCTTCATTGGGATGTTACAGAAGACAAAAAATAAAGAAGAAACACACATATAAATTATATGGCTGTGGTTCCTGGGACCACACGCTGTTTCGTTATAATTTTAATGCCTTATTTATGGCATAAAACACACAAAAAAAAAACAAAAAACAAAATGAAGAAAAACAAATAAAAATTTGAAATCTTTTTCTGGTCGCTTGCAGGGCAAGGCGCGTGGCAACCGCACGGCAATCTATCTGCGTTCAGTATTCCAATCCCACCTCGAAACGCTCGGCAGCTCCGTGCAGAAGCATGCGGGCAAGGTGCTATTTGTGGCCATTTTGGTTTTAAGCACATTTTGTGTGGGCCTCAAAAGCGCACAGATACACTCGAAGGTGCATCAGCTGTGGATACAGGAGGGCGGTCGACTCGAATCGGAATTGGCCTACTCGCAGAAGACGATCGGTGAGGATGAGTCATCGACGCATCAGCTGATCATACAAACGGCACACGATCCGAACGCATCTGTGCTGCATCCGCAAGCGTTGCTCTCCCATCTGGAGGTGCTCGTCAAGGCGACAGCGGTCAAGGTGCACATGTTCGATACGGAATGGGGCCTGCGGGACATGTGCAATAAGCCGACAACGCCCAGCTTCGAAGGACACTATTATATTGAGCAAATACTTAAGCATCTGATACCGTGCTCGATAATAACGCCACTCGACTGCTTCTGGGAGGGCAGTCAACTGTTGGGACCCGAAACTCCAGCCTACATACCGTATGTACTTCTATCTGCCAAGATTCACCTTGATCATTAATCACTAATTTGTCTCTCTGCCTGCAGTGTCCTCAATCAGCGACTGATGTGGAGCACCCTAAATCCAACAGGTGTGATGCAGTTCATGAAACAGCATATGTCCGATCAGAAAACCAGTTTTGACTTCGACACCGTCGAACAGTATATGAAACGTGCGGCGATCAGCAGTGGCTACATGGAGAAGCCCTGCCTCAATCCCAAGCATCCCCACTGCCCGGATACGGCGCCCAACAAGGGCAGCCAGCAGCCACCCGACATTGGTGCGATACTCACCGGCGGCTGTTATGGCTATGCAACGAAGCATATGCATTGGCCGGAACAGCTGATTGTGGGCGGAGCACAGCGCAATCGCAGCGGCCATTTGAGGAAGGCCAAAGCGCTGCAGACGGTGGTGCAACTGATGACCGAGAAGGAGATGTTCGATCAGTGGCAGGATAACTACAAGGTCCATCACATCGGCTGGTCACAGCAGAAGGCCGCCGAGGTCCTCAATGCCTGGCAGCGTAACTTCTCGCGCGAGGTGGAGCAGCTGTTGCGCAAACAGTCTCGGATTGCGGTCAACTATGACATCTTTGTGTTCAGCTCGGCCACCTTGGATGACATTCTGGCCAAGTTCTCGCATCCGTCGGCGGTTAGCATTGTGATTGGTGTCGCTGCCACCGTTCTCTATGCCTTCTGTACGCTGCTGCGCTGGCGTGATCCTGTCCGTGGCCAGAGTAGTGTTGGCGTCGCCGGTGTCCTGCTCATGTGCTTCAGCACGGCAGCTGGATTGGGTCTGTGTGCCCTGCTCGGCATTGTGTTCAATGCGGCCAGCACACAGGTGGTGCCATTTCTGGCACTTGGCCTCGGTGTGGATCACATCTTTATGCTGACGGCGGCGTATGCGGAAAGCAATCGCAAGGAGCAAACGAAACTAATTCTGAAGAAGGTTGGACCGAGCATCCTGTTCAGTGCGTGCAGCACGGCTGGCTCCTTCTTTGCCGCCGTCTTCATCCCAGTGCCGGCGCTGAAAGTGTTTTGCCTGCAGGCGGCGATTGTTATGTGCTTCAATTTGGCGGCGGCTCTACTGGTTTTCCCAGCGATGATCTCGTTGGATTTGCGGCGACGCACCGCCGGACGAGCGGACATCTTTTGCTGTTGCTTTCCGGTGTGGAAGGAGCAACCCAAGCACATGAACAACAATAATATGCGAAGTGGACGCCACCTGAAGAATTGCAACAACAATCGCACAGCTGCACAGTTGCAGCAACAGCAACAGCAACAACAGCAGCAGCAGCAACAACAACAGCAACAGCAGCCACAACAGCAACCAGCACAGAATCCACTATTGGAATCGCGTTCAACGGGCATCATCAGTGGCGGCTCCTCGCTGCCCTCGTTCTCGCTGGCCAGCTTTGCCTACAAGTATTATACGCCGTTTCTCATGCGCAGCTGGGTTAAGTTTCTGGCCGTGATGGGTTTCCTGTGCGCCGTCATCTTTAGTCTGTATGAGGCGACATCGTTGCAGGATGGCTTGGACATTATCGATCTGGTGCCCAAGCAGAGTAACGAGCACAAGTTTCTGGATGCACAGACGCGTCTCTTTGGCTTCTACTCGATGTATGCGGTCACCCAGGGCAACTTTGAGTATCCGACACAGCAGCAGCTGCTCTGCGATTATCATGAGGCATACGTCCGGGTGCCGCATGTCATCAAGAATGATAATGGCGGCCTGCCGGACTTTTGGCTGATCCTCTTCCGCGACTGGCTGACCAACTTGCAGCGCATCTTCGACGAGGAGGTGCGCGATGGTCGGATCACAAAGGAGAACTGGTATTCGAATGCCAGCAGTGATGCCATCCTCGCCTACAAGCTGATGGTCCAAACGGGCTATGTAGACAATCCGGTGGACAAGAGTCTCGTCGAATCGAATCGGCTGGTGAACGGCGATGGCATCATCAATCCCAAAGCATTCTACAACTATCTGTCCGCCTGGGCGACAAACGATGTCTTTGCCTATGGCGCCTCACAGGTGAGCAATCTGAATAATGACTTAAAGTAAATGAATTTTATTTAATTTATTCATTCTTTTTTTTGTCTTTTAGGGCAAACTCTATCCGGAACCGCGTCAGTATTATCATGCGCCCAACGAATACGATCTGAAGATACCGAAAAGTCTGCCACTGGTCTACGCACAGATGCCGTTCTATCTGCACGGATTGACGGACACGTCCGAGATCAAGACACTAATTGGCCACATACGCGATTTGAGTGTCAAGTTTGAAGGATACGGTTTGCCCAACTATCCCTCAGGTGGGTGTGCACTGTGCGCAACGAATCTTCTTGTTTATTAATCACAAATTCTGTTTTAGGCATACCGTTTATCTTTTGGGAACAGTATATGACGTTGCGCTCCTCGCTGGCCCTCATCCTGGCTTGTGCTTTGTTGGCCGCCTTGGTTTTGGTTTCGCTGCTGCTGCTGTCCGTTTGGGCTGCCGTTCTCGTCATCGTCACTGTGCTGGCCTCGCTCGCCCAAATCTTTGGCGCCATGAGCCTGCTGGGCATTAAGCTATCCGCGATTCCAGCCGTCATCCTAATACTCGGCGTGGGCATGATGCTCTGCTTCAATGTTCACATCACACTGGTAAGCATTGCATTCGGTGGCTGTGCAAAGCGGCAAGCAGAGTTCTCACATTTATTGATTGATTGTTGCAGGGTTTTATGACTTCGGTGGGCAATCGACAGCGGCGCGTTCATCTGGCCATGCAGCTGTCACTGGGTCCCTTGGTGCACGGCATGCTCACCTCTGGCATGGCTGTATTTATGTTGTCCACATCGCCGTTTGAGTTTGTCATACGTCACTTTTGCTGGCTGCTGCTGGTTGTGCTTTGTGTGGGCGCCTGCAACAGTCTGTTCGTGTTTCCCATAATCCTCAGCATGCTGGGACCCGAGGCGGAACTGGTGCCACTGGAGCACACCGATCGTATATCGACGCCGTCACCCATACCAATGCGCAGCAAGCGCTCCAATAAATCGTATACGGTGAATGGGACGCGTGGCTCGTCGCGCAACTCCAGCTCGAATAACTGCCACAAGGCGCATCACAATCACAAGGATGTGAACATCAATGATCCATCGCTGACGACAATCACCGAGGAGCCGCAATCGTGGAAGTCCAGCAATTCGTCCATACAAATGCACAATGATTGGAGTGCGCCGTCGACGCCAACGCACAATCACAACAATCACAACAATCACAGCAATCACAACAATCACAGCAATCACAGCAATCACAACAATCATGGCAATCACAATTACAATCCCAATCTGAACAATCATTATATGAACAACATTAACAATTATCAGCAACGCGAACGAGAACGCGAACCACAATCGCAGTACAACCACTCGAATTGCACATATGCGGGTCCACCACCATCGTATCACAAGGCCTCGCAGTCACACACACCGCTCGGTAGCTATGGACCCGGGCCGGAGCTGCAGAGCATTGTGGTGCAGCCGGAGGTGACAGTGGAGACGACGCTGTCGGATAGCAACACCACCAAGGTGACGGCGACCGCTAATATCAAAGTGGAGCTGGTCACGCCGGGTCGAGCGGTGCGCAGCTATAACTTTACAAGTTAGCCCCTGGCACTCTAGTTCCAGTTCCTGTAGCCATTAACCTAGATAGCCTATAGCCCATAAACTATAACTGTAAACTATAAAAATGTAATCTGTAAAACTGTAATCTGTAAAACTGTAATCTGTAAAACTGTAATCTGTAATCTGTATGCATGATAGTTAATTACACCATATATACACAATATATATATATATATATATAGCGAGAGAGATCAGCTGCTAAGCTTTGTATGTATGTATTTGTTAGCACCTAAGGCATTCTTATAATTATAGAGTTATTTATTGTAACACACACAAACAAAAAAAAAACACACACAAACACTGCTATGTACTTATATTCGTCTTATATTCGTTCAAATGTCGAAAACCAACAAAAAACAACATTAGTAATTTATAGCATTTAAATTAGTTTAAATATGTACATAAAACACAAGGACTTGAACCAAAATAGTATCGCTTAAAAAAAAAAAACAAAAACAAAACACAATGAATCTAAGAATAAATATAAAAACAAAAAAAAAAAAAAAAAAACACAAAAGTCGAAGTCTAAAAAAGCAAGTGAGAAGAATCCCTTCCGTAGGTACTTACAACCAAAATTAATAAATGAAAGCAAAAATATATATATACATAAGTATATAATAAAATGTTTACGCTCAAGGGACATGGACAGGGACAATGAGTTGGGGTCCTGTTGCCAAATAACACACACAAACACACACATTATACAGTTCTTAAAAAGCGAAAGCATTTAAATAAAACTCGAACAATTTGTAAGGCGAAACTTTCAACTTTTGTTTGACTTATTCAATCTATTGATGATTTGGCCTAAGCCTAAGCTTGACAAGCATATTTTATCTGTGTGTTTTACATCTTGATTGTTTTCAACTTGTGAAAGCTGTCTGCCCATTACAAGGTTCTTCAGGATACCATCGAATCTGTTAAAAACTATTTCTGCTATTTGTCATAATCAGTGTTTAAATTTACTACTCCAAAGCAGCAAGATAAATAGAAATATGGATTTTCAATTGCTAAATGCATGAAGGATAGCAGCTCTAGTTGAGCTTCGATAGCAGCTCCTGTTACAGGAGCTGTCGCACAGAGCAAACCCAAATATTACAAATATTATTTATAGCAATAGCACAAGTTGCACAGTTCGATTGCTATGCTCTCGCTTTGCTCTCGCTATGCTGTTGCTTTGCTCTCGCTATGCTCTCGCTATGCTCTCGCTTTGCTCTTGCTTTGTTCTCATTCTTTTTGATATAATTACAGAGAGCACAATGGATATTTGTCTGCTCTTGCAAGTGACAAAGTCGAGCAGACGAAAGGCGCATTAATTTCAGTTTTATTCTGATATTGGCTCTGCTATTGCTATGTTAAAGTTCGTAGCAGTAGCAAAAGTAAAACGAAAAACGAAAAACTTCGAAGCAGCGTAGCATTTTTAATGCAAATAATAGCATACTTTTACCAGCAAATCTTCCCTTTCTCTCTCCCTCTCTGATCGTAGAACTAGGCGTGTTTTAATCTTCTTACATAAACAATAAGTAACAAAGTTGATTGTTCCAAGTTCTAATTATCTATACAAGGAATCTTCTACTTTTTTGTTCTTTAAACTTGTAATAATACAATGCTCCACTTATAATGATTATTATTCCATCATTTTCAGTTCTATTAAAACTTTTGTTTTAATATAGTTGCATTTCGTGCATCAAAAAAAAAGCTTAAAAATTTAATTTTTAGAATTTACTTATTTGCAAGTGTTATGAAAAAAGCTTTCAAAATTGAAATTTGACTTTGCTTTTACTGTTCAACATAATAATTGGCATTAAAATATATATATTTATATTATCATTAGATCAAGCGCTATAAATATGTCCATGATAGAGGATCATTTCAAGTACTTCAAGTCGAATGTACGTAAAAGGTAATCCATGGCTGCATTTAAGTTGAAAGTAGAATTCACCTTCCACAGACGAGTTGCCACAGTCTGTTGCGGATGCCCTTCGATTATCGTTGCATGATGGCCAGGGAGCTGCCCAACTGCAAGGAGATTATTAGTTATTTCAACTATTTCGAGTTGATCTATTGCTATTTTCACATACACGAATTGAGAACTGAGACTTGTGTGATGTTGTTGCTATCAATCGCTGCGATTATCTACTTTTTTATCCTCTCCATCGTTGTGGATACCTAGTGAGTATATACAATAAATGTATATATATTTCTGTATATTTATTAATTTATTTAATTTAGCTTTACGCCCATTTTGAAGATACTCTCGATCAAGCTGCATATGAATGAATATTTAGCTGGCGTCACTTTTTTGGCCTTTGCCAATTCATCGCCAGACCTGATTGCCAATTTGATGCCAATCCGAGCGGACGCGGCAATATTCACCTGCACAATTAGCAATGCTCTGACCATTGTGCTCCTCTGCGGGGGCATGATATGCTATTTGAAGCCATTCAAAATGGACGGACACAGCACTGTGCGAAATCTTCTATTCCTGCTGCTCGGCGTGGAACTGTTGCGTCACATCATGTTCAGTGCGCACAGTGTGACCAAGAAGGAGAGCGTAAGTAAGTCTAAACGGGAACAATATTATACATAGAGTCCAAAAGATTGGTTGCATTTAGAATCTGGTTTTATTGGGTTAGAAAATGTACATGAATTTCAACTTGAAAGCTTGCTTCCAATTTAAATGATCGTCTCACGACTTCTGCCTGATTTCTGGATTATTTCAGTCGCTGTTCTACCAATTATTTCTTTTCGAGTACTCTTTAATGATTACAATAGACTTTATCATGTAATCAAATCAGCATTTTCTAGTTCTATAATTAGGAACTCAATTTTAAACGTCTATTCTCGTTATTATAACTTGGGGTTTAGATTTATTCAGAGTTCTGTATTTAATACAGAATATATATCCGCTTCATGCGACTTATACTACGCGATTCAAGCGACCAAAAGCGACTGAAAGTAGCTTAAACATACCATCGAAGAAGGTCTTGATCATAAGGAACTGACAATTACCGTTGCTCGCAGGCAACAACAGATTAAGACTACAAAACGGGAATGCAAGACAAGCTGCGGTGTACATAGGCAAATACAGTTATTTCCAACACTCGTGAATAACATTTTATTTAACTATTTATTTGATCCGCTTGTGGGTTTTCTGCGCTTTCGCAAGACATCTTAAAAATCTTATAAATATTTCTTATTCTAAATAAAATTTAAATTTAATATTACCTTTTATTTATAATTGAATTTTAATATGTTTTTTACTTTTTATATATATTTTTGTGTTGACATCAAATAAAATAATCGAAATTAATAATCTTAATCCTCGCAGTTCTACTCTCGCTTTATGTTATCTACCTGTTGATAAATATAGCCGATCTCATTCTGATGCGCTACACCATTAAAAGTGAGTATTACTAATCCAAGATTTTTAGAATTTTTTGGTTTTGATAGCATCGTATTCACCTCAGATCTGCGAGTGGAGATCGAAGAATTGAGCAGTCGAAAACTTTCGATGAAGCACAAACTGCAGCTGAAGAAAAAGATGAAATTTCTAGCTGAATTAGAGTCGAATGAAATAATGAATTTTCACAAGCGTAATTCACAATATTTTAGCCCACAGCCGTCGAACGCTAATCCAGTCAGGGATATATTCAGCACTCGCAGATCCGATGTCCAGCGTCCAACTCAAATGGACTTTAAGTCGCAGCGCACAATTCTGCACAATGCGAACAACGCGAAGAACGTGTTCCTGCTGCGGGACTTCTTCGAGTCCCTGAATCCCATCGATGCAATGGATTGGCAACTGAGTGGATATCTCGGCAAGATACTGATTGTGTTGAAGTCACCGTTTCTGGTGCTCATCACGGCATTTGTGCCCGTTGTGGACTATGAGCAATACAAGCATGGCTGGAGCAAGCTGCTCAACTGCACCCAGATTGTGACGAATCCCTTCATCGTCATCACGGCAGTCCACTGTATGTGTTATCGATTGTAATCGATTATAAATCGATTATTATTATTATTATCATGCACTGCAAACCTGTTAGATTTATTTGATCTATATCTGAGCCCGAAAACACTAATTCTAATCTTTGTCGGACTGAGACTTTTTGTGTTCTTCGAGTTTAAAATGTGTTTCTCTAGAATACTACAGTTTTTCCTGCTTTGATTGTTTTTCATTGGCCCTACTGACTATACCCAGTTTTTTAGTCTTCACTGTCCTTGTCAGGAGACTGTGAATTATTCTAAATCTGTCCTTCCACATGGCTTTTAATTGCTTAAATCGTCTTTGATTATACCCAACTAGAAGTCATTTAGCTGGTGCATCTGCCCTGTTTGATTATCTTTCTTCGTTTATCCAGTATATATAATATATCCAGTATATATAAATCACAAGCTATATTAATCTATTGCTTGACTTATCGGATCGAATGGCAATATTTATATTCCGATATTTATATTTTTATTTTTATATTAAAACACACAGTTGCAATACAAATTTATAGCACAACTACGACATTTTTTCATACGAATAACAACAAAAAATTACTTTTGCAAATAATTATTCGATTAAATTCAAAGTGTTCCTCCTATAAATTAGTATCATTTTATGTTATATATATATTTTATATATTTTTTATATTATATATATTTATTTTTTTTCACTTGAAGGGAAGAGTGCGAAAAGTAGCGAAAAAATAATAGCACCACTTTTAATTTGATTATATTACTATGATAGTTATTATTTATTATTTCGATCATTGCATTCAAATAAATTCAAAAATACAAAATTATAAAAAAAATATATTGAATGGAAAATTCTATAAGAAAGTCGGTGGATTGGAAAAAACTTGATTCGATATAAACAAATCACCTAAATTCACAATTAGCTGAAAGTAAATAAATTTTTATTTATTTCCAATATTTATAATTATAAGTGCACATATGAAAAGTGGTGCCATTATTTTGTTAGTTAATTTTCTAAATTTTGAATAAAAACATTGAGAATTGTGAATAAAAATAATGGGGTTTTTCTATTTCCCTTTTATTAAATACACATTTGAACACATTTCTTGTGAGGGTGGTGCTATTATTTTGATCGTAACTGTACATGTTATAGCACATATTTCAACGTAGCCTCATTTTTTGTGTAGCCAAGTTTGCCAGTGTGTACAGTGGTTGGTACATTGACTTTAACTACAGTTATTCCAAGTGGTCTTTGTGCCTGACGATTCCACTGGCGATCTGTGTTTTTTTGCATGCTCGCACCGATTTGCCACCGCCATATCATATGGTAAGTACTGTTGTACACATAACTGTTATATATATAACTGTTATACACATAACTGTTCACTGTTATGCAAAACAGCTGTTTATCACACTGGGCGTATCGAGCTCGGTTGTGCTGATCACTTTGTGCGTTGGCGAAATCGAAATGCTCAACTCGATTGTGGGCGTGGTCTTCAATTTGAGCGAGAATTTCATGGACATCACATTCGGTTCGATAACAAATGCGACTATCGATCTGATGGCTAATTTTGCGTTAACCAAGCAGGGATATGAGAAAATGGCATACGCTGCCATCTGTGCTGGTCCATTTTTTAGTAAGCATAATTTTTATCGTTTTTTATATTAATTTATAAATGCACAAATATGCGTATTTGTACCACTGTAATTGCAGGCATTGTTGTTGGCATGGGCGTCGCTCTGCTGTTCAATGTGAATGCGCAGAAGCCGGGCTCCGACTTTTGGCTGTATGGCGAGAATGGCGATAACTGTTATATATTCGTGCTGATCACCATTGTGACCCAATTGTGGTGGTGTCTAACGGTCAATTTCTATGCACGACGATCGGCTGGCATTTTTGCTTGGGCGCTGTACGCAGTGTTTCTCATTTATGTTGCTGGTGCTGAGTGGGATCTGGTACATGACTTTACCAGAGATTTATACTTTGAGCCAAAATAATGAACACAAATAATAATATTTTGTATAAGCTATGTTTAAAAATGTATTGTTTGAAAACCAAATGTTTCTATAATACTGGGTTTGCGTATACACTGTGTGTTTTCAGTTAGGTGGCTGTACTTGCTAATTCGTTAAGTGAGAAACTTAGTCCAGTTGATTCGTTCAATGTGTGGTTTGCTGGTGTGGCAACGCTAAAAACACGTGATATGCACTATTTTCAACGAAAATGGAAGAAGAGCACAGCATGCAAAACCCAATGTTGATGTTACATACACACTTATGACATGTGTGTACAGCAATTACCGATTATACAGTTCGATAATTTTGCGTGCAAAACATCGATAGATGGTTTGTTTTAGTTTTTCAATGTGACTAGAAGTGGTTTCGCTAAACTTAATGAGATGCAACAGACTTAATAATTTCGATAGCAGCATTTACTGCTTTCACTCTCTAGTGCTTCAAATGATGGTGCATTAACTATCGATATTACTTGTATTTGTCAAACAACACAAAAACATCGTAAATATATAGTTGTAACCTATCGATATGTTGTTACGATATAAACAGCAACAAGAAAAAAATAGAAAGAAACAATTTGGTACGCGCCGTGTGTAAATAACAGTGAAAGCCGTTGCATCTCGTAAGCGGAACATTTAATTCCTTACATTAAAAATTGTTTAGCAAATAATTCAAGTACTGACTCAACTAACTGCATCTACATGCGCTGCAGAAGAAATACGTAATAAATCCAATTTCGACCGCATCACAAAGAGACAGAGAGAGCGTCAAATTCTCTTGGCTTGGTCGTCTGCGTGAGTGTGACTGAGCGAGTGTGTGGTCGAAATCAGACGGTGAAAATAATCGTGGCAAAAGCGGCGACATTTTATACACGTATCAGAAGCAAACTCAACGTGTTTTGAGAACGTTGTACTGTGTTGTGGGACGCGTCGAGGCTGTCGCATATTACAACCACATACAAGCAAATTTACCTAGAAACAGTGAGTGATCTGATCATTAAATGCGTACGCGAAATTAAAACACTTACTAAAAACGCAATCTTAAAACGTAATTGGAACTCGAAAGCTTTCTGTAAGTAAGAAATTCCGATTGCTGCCAATGTGTTTGTGTTTCTCCTCTGTGTGTGTGTGTGTGAGTAGGCCATTAAATTGGCCAAAGCGCAACTACGAATAAAAAAAAAAACAAAAAATGTGCATTTGTGTGTAAATTGGTGAAAGTCAAATTTAAAAGAAACACGAATTATTGTGCTTAAATAAACCAATTAAAAGTTCTTACAGTGTGTGTGTTATGCACAAATTAAACTGTTATAATTGCAAAAAAAAAACGCATTACATTTTCTATGTTTAATCATACATTTATGCTTTCACGTTTATTACATGTGCGCTCTCTCTCTATCTGTCTCTTTCAATGTATATAACGGCATTTCAAATACAACGACGCAAAACTGCTGCTAAATACAAAAAAAAAAACATTACGAATAAAGCAGGTAAGCTTTTTTAAATTTCAATTACGTTGTGCATGACGTAGGTGTTTAGTTTAGTTTACTTACTCTGCCCGTCTCTCAGCTGACACAGGTCACACACACACACACCGACATGCACACATACTTGTGCGTTCTTACTCTCTCTCGTTCTCTTTGTCTGCCGGTGTGGCGGCTCAAATGTCACGCCACCTTATCAATGTCCGTTTTAGAAATACTTATGCAGCTCCGCACCACACCTCTTCCCATCACAACTCCTTGTAGATGTTTCAAGGCTGGCAATGCCAATCTAAATTTTAATAAGTTAGAATTAGAAGTAAACAATGCAATGTTGACCCACTTTTTAATTTGCAGTTGCGAGGGAGAGAGAGATAAAGAGAGAGAGAGTAGCAATGATGGATTTACTGCATTATACAATTGCAGCCAATGGCAACAAGCAAATCTATAAATAGAAATCACATGGGAAACAACGGATTTTATTTATTTACATATTGATTATTTTGTTTGCTTGTCAATTGCAAAATGAAAAAAAAAAAAATATTAAATGGCAGCGACCTTCACAGGTTGCAATTTTCAACATTGCTTTAGCCTTCAAATATTTAATTAGATCAAATTGTCAATCCGATTCTGTTAATACGCACAAAGTAGTAAAGGCATTACACATGTTCGTTTCTCATTGCTTCTCTTCTTCTTTATCTGAGTCAGTGCGTTGAATTTCCCCTTTCAACTGTTCACACGTGCATCAAGTGATTTCTTGTAACAAAAAACAATGCTGCGCACTTGCTCTCTTTCCAGCTGACACTCTCTCTCTCTGTGGGGGGAGCAGCAAGTGAGTCAGCTTGCTCTTTTACACTCCCACTCAATTATCTGCTTTGCTTTGCTTGCTTGCCTGCTTGGTTTATTATACCAACTGAAAATCATGCGAGTTTTGCTTGCTTGCGCTTTGCTCTTCCTCTTCTTTCCCGGGGTCATGTCTGTGTGTGTCTGTGAGTTTGCTGTGATGTGTCATATGTTCTTCTTCAGTTTGTGTTCTTGTTGTGACGGGGGCCGATTGCGACCGACCAACCAGCTGAGTCGAGCGATGGCCTTTGGCAATTGTTGATGCATTTTCAATGACGCGTCGAGCTGACTTCTGGGGTGCGGTTTTTTGTTGTGGCCCGGAAGCTGACTGCAGTAATAGTTTATCATTTATCATTAACGGTAGCTCGTCGGTAATAGGCACGTTTAGTGTGCTTTGCCAAATCAACAGTTAATTGCGTTTATTTATTTAATTCAGTTCAAAATAAAATAAACTTAACTTAAAAAAAAAAAAGTATTTGTAAGATTTCTGAGCTTATTTAAATGGAAATGCAATTCTGATAACAGAGTTTTACTGCACTGTTAAACGTGCTGTTGCAAACAAAACTTTATCGCTATTCTCGGAGAGTGTGCATTTATTCGTAGTGTGTGATAAATGATAAATGAAATTCCACTGAAAATAATTTTATAATTTTTACACTGTTTGTTCTTCACTTAATTCTGAGTTCGAAGTTTTAATAGCCAAGCAACCAGCATATTTATGTCTATTCTCAATAGAAATGCATTCAATTTAGCTATAAATAACCACTTAATATTTGAATTGAGCCCGCACCTTAAATACAGTCGCATCATTATTACAAATGTAAATGTGTGTATATATTTACACCCAAAAATATGTATATATATACATGTATATATGTGTGTGTAAATACATGTATGTGTGTGTGCATATTTTTTTGCCGGTCGCAGCTTTCATTCATGGCCAAACCCAAACGACAGAAGCAGAGCGACGACGAAAACAGTAAACAACATGCTCTATGACCTTTTAGCACCACAATCTATTCCCCACCCACCTCCCCATTTCAGAGTTGAGAAGAGTGCGTGCTTTCTCTTCGCCTCTCTCTCTCGCTCTCTCCCTTGCTTTCGCTCTCTCTCTTGTACAGTTGCAATGGCATTGCTATGCAATTCGCTCTTTTTTGTTGGTCTCTCTTCGCCGCAGTTTTGGTTTGCTGCGCATCATTTCCCCTGAAACTCGTACGATTTTCAGCTGGTATAACCAAATAAATGCTAAAGAAGGGGCGAATGAAAAACGTGCCACGACATGTTGCCGCAGCAACAACAACAGCAACAGCAACTACCACCCTAAACCGATTTCTTGTGCCTCTGCCTCTGCGTGCCACACCGCCCAGCATTGGCTTTGTCTGGCGCTTTTCTTTTTGCCGTTGTTTTTGTTGTTGCAACAGCAGCAGCCAGCAGCAGCAGCAGTGGTTAAGGAGGGAAATAGTCACGCGATTTCTATGCACATTTACATGAATGTATTTTTGTATGTATTTTTCATATTATGTGGATATGTATGTATGTATGTATGTATTGATTTTGTTTTATATAAATATATGCATTTGTTTTTATGATAATATTCCTTTGTAGGAACTCCATTTAATAGTACAAAAATGAGGAAACAAATTAAAGTGAATAATAAAATACATTTTTTTGCAAAATAAATGAATAAAGATGATTTTTTTTTCTTGGAACAATGAGAATTCAATGTCATTTACACTCGATTACACTTGATTTATTATTATTAGTTTAGTTTTATTGTCCGATCAAAGCACATCAATGCTTTGGTTAAATGTACTTTATTTAATATAAAATTCATTTTTGTTTAATTAAATACAACACGGTTCATCAAATTTTATCAAACACGCCATTCAAATTTGTCTGTCCGAAAGGTGGCGCTTGAAAAAACCTGTTATAGTGATTAACGATCACTTATTACATAAGTACATAGTCATATATAGATATATATATATATATATATGTATATATAACGTGCATATATAAATAGAGATGAATGAGTGCTAAGACTTGTGACATGTGGCAAATGTGCTGAAATGATAAACATTGATAAATCAACATCAACACATTCAAACATTGTTTGCTTTAGTCACGCTGCTGAAAATGCTGGCTGCAAAAAGATTTTCTAACCGGTTTAAAAAAAAAAACATTTAAACCGGATTTTTGCAACGTGCTTCCGTTCGTCGTGAGCCAAGATCATTTTCTTTTCACTTTTTTTTCTTCTGCTCAGCACGTGCTTTACAAATTGGAGGTGGGGGTGAAACTGGAGCAGTTGTGCGATGGTCACTCTAAAGATAACTACACGCATGTTTGTCTAGGTCACTTGCATATACACATATACACGACACGTATGTATGTGTTGTGTATGATCAGAGCAGTTGACGTCAGTGGCTCTTTACATTCTCACACAGCAGGAAGAACAAGAAGGGCAGACGAATTGAGCGAGTGCAAAAGAGCGCCGCTCTCTCTCTCTCTTTGTCGCTCTCTCTGGGTGGGTACTTATCTGAGTGCGGTGTGTGAGAGCTTTTGACACTCATTTTGATCGCTGGCTGTAATCAAATTTATTTAAATTCTCCCACACAATCTTTGGTTTGTTTGTTTGTTTTGCGTTTTTGTTGCCCTTTATCTTCTTTTTTTTTTGAATCGTGCATTGCTGTAGTATTTGTATATACTTTTTTCATTTAAGAGTTGGTATTGTTATTGTTGTTTTCATTTTCAATCTTAGAGAGCACATTTCTCATTTGATGTACGTTGAACCGGCTGCAAAGAAAACGTAAAAAAAAAAACAGTACAGAAAATTATTTTTATTTTGGACTTTGACACAATCATGCGATGATTTTGTTACCCCATTTGAGCAAGTGAGACACAAGCAGAGGGAGCCGGCAGAGACAATGGCAAAGAACACAGTCGCTCTCATTCGCTCAATCGACGAGTATCTCTCTGACATTTAATTGCACACACACACATGCATTTATGTGTGTGTGTGTAGCTGTATGCATTTGAAGAAACATTGACCGCTGACCCCCTTCCAGCTGCACCCCATCAATGTCAAGGCAGTTCGCAGGTGCATCAGCAGACTGCGTTTAAATAATTATATATTGCTACAAACAGGAATTGAGTGTAATTGCCTCAATCAACATAAAATTTGTTTGTGAGTTGATTAAACTTCGAATTGAAATATAATAATTTGATCATAAATACTAAATAATAAACCGTAAAATGAGAGCTTTACTGGCTAATGCTAACTGATAATAACAGAATCACTGAAATAAATTGAGGTTAATTTAGTAAACTATAAATAACTGTTAAAATTGAGCGGAAACGTTGAAAACATTTTCCAAAATATGTATTCAAGTAAATCAATTGTATTTCATGCGGGTAAATTCTGCCCTCATTTGGAAAACTCTAGTTAAAATATTATTTTTTAGATAAAATAGATTACATCATAATGATGGTATAGTCTGCTTAGTGCTACAGTCTAGTTTTAAAGTTTGAGATAGCTTTCTCAGTTTTTTGCGAAAATACTTATTTATTTTTAAACTTACGACTGAGTATGCAAATTAAAAAACGTATTCATGCCAAATTTTTGGCGAAATACTGAGAAACAATTATGTTAAGTTCCTAAATTGAAAGTCTGGCGTTGATTAAGAACTTGTGTGGTGAATCATTCATTTAGGCCACGTCAGTAAAACTGACTCGTTCAACATGCTAAGCATTTCACTCATGATTAAGACTCTTTTAAACTTGAAACAATGTGAATCTTTCTTCATTTACAATTGCTTTGTTGTAATGTGTGCAAAAACTCATTGTTGTTGCCACAATTCGCATGCGAATGTGGAACAAAATATTTAGATATATGGTGGATTGCTACACATTCTAAAATTTTAAGCTGAATTACTTGGGACTTTGCACCCTGCCAACTTGGATTTGGACTTTGTAAGTCGTGCACATGATTCAGAACTCTTGCACCTTTCGCGAAAATTCTAGTTTTTGACCTCATGTCTGAGATACGATATCGAAAGCGTTGTTAATTGTTTGCACATATACGCATTAAATGCACAATTCAAGTTGGAGGTTGTTGTTGCCAATCGACTCTCAGCTACATTTCCATTTTCATTTCTAGTTGGTGAAGCATGACGCTTGCCTCAATGATTTCAATAAATTGCAGTGGTTGTTGTTCAAGTTGTTGTTGTAGTAGTTGTTGTAGTTGTTGTTGTAGTTGTTACATTCGTTGTGCAATGTATGCAAAAAGTCAATAATGCACGGTTCAAAAATAAAAACAAACGCTTGCTGTAAAAAAAAAGAATGCAAAACGAATGCAGTAAACAAAAGCAAAACAAAGTTAGAAAACAGAAAAAATTAATAAATAAGTAAAAAACAGTTATAACGAGTACGAGCTTGATTAGCAATTTGTTTTAATCAATGCAAATCACACACTTGAAACTGAAGCTCAAATCGAATGCAAATTAAAACCTGATTTAAAAACCTGAAATTAAAAACAATAACTGTGGCATTTAATCATGGAAAACATCGACTAACAACCAATTATGATAATGAAAACTTGCACGCTTATCTCAAGTGTCGCATTATAAATTTAACGCAGAACCCATTGGCAGAGAGCATACATATATATAACTAACTATACATATGTATATATGTAAGGGATTATCTAAACGGACTGATTTAATCAGGCACAACACTTTTTCACTTGTCGCTGTTAGTAGTAGGTACAAAGTGCCCACAACATACAACTAATCAAAATGATACGCGTCTCATTTCCTGAATTGTCTTTAATCCACACTATTCACATTGTTTAGTATAGCATACAGCTGTATATACATATATATACATATATATATATGTATACCTTTGGATTCCTTATGATTCCGTTCCATTTAGTTTGCTCACTGTGCTTGCTTGTGTGTAACTTAACTTGGATCAGGGTCACGATCGTCACACATGCGGCATCGTCTACACTCCAACTGGCGTTCAAAGTTCAACAGCAATGTTTTCTACGAAATTGCCTCAACTTAGTCTGCTTTTTCTCTCTCCCTCTCCCTCTCTATCTCTTGTTTTTTCTATACAATTTTCATTCATTTCACTGCAAGTTGATGATTTTCATAGATTTTGCAAACACTGCGAAAACAACTTTCGCTCAAACACTTTGCGACCCACTTTGTGGCACAGTGGTGCAATCATAGCGATAATAGAAATTTTACAAAATAGCTTATTATTTAAATTTTCTTTTCCATTAAAGTTTTTTAATTAAAAATCTTACAATTAGTATGCATAATATCTATAAAACTCGCAGTTTAACCTTGGTTTTATAATTCATAAATGCCTTTATATATTAGATAAATCACACGACTTGCAGTTTAAATAGTTGCTTAATAAAATCATTCATCGAAGAGTTTTAAGAGTAACTCTCGAATTTTTGCTTTTCATAGAGTACTTCGACATTCCCTTCATCGATTTATAAACAAAACACGTTTCGCTTAAAGCACTTTTCTTGTTATTATTATTGTTTTGGATTGTTGTTTTGTTGCTTTGTTGTGCGGGAATTCGGTTCAATAACCGCGGCCATAAACATTACCAGCCAATGAAAAGAAGATGGCCAAATAATGTATTTGACAGAGTCTTGAAAGATATCCCAACTTTTGTTATCAGTTGTTACAGTTGAGATGGACAAGAGTTGATGCAATACTTTTTCTGGCATTTGATTCGCTTTCTTGATTCTTGACAGACAAATCGGAACTGTTAAACAAACTACAAAATGGAATAAAGTATGGAATAAAGTCATTGCGTTAACACAATAAGCCAACATGGACCAAGTGTGTCGAAGGTGGCTACTTCCTGTCAGTAGACAGCCGTTCCAACCTAACCTATTTATTGTTATAGCTAATGACAGGATAGGTTAGGATCTGCGACTAAATAACTTTCAGTCTATGTTCCGGTGAAACCATACATCCGTCCTTGTTCCGGAAGCTTGTGTATGATTGTATATATCTGTAAAGAGCGGAGACTATAAATAATTTAGTCTTTTCCTATCGTGAGGAAATGCTGAATCGAAACTTTTTCGCATATTTTTGGTTTGTTTAACTTTACTCGTCCGTTAATTGTATATGTTATAAATAACATTTAACTGGGTTCCTAGTCTGATTTATATAGGGCTATAAATTTTCTATTATTTTTTTTTGTTTTCTTTTTTTTTTATTTACAGAGGTATACATTTTACATTATTTCTTATCTTTTATTTTTACATTTTTCATTTATTGCATTTATTGAACTTTGCCCAACTTTCTGACGAAATTCTAGTTGGGATATCAGTTGCGCATTGCTAAGGTAATCCGATGGAGTGCTTTCTGTGGAATCTTGCTGACATTGAAAATTGTTTATATTTATTTTTAAACAGAAGAAAAATGGAAAGTAAAGAAAACGCCAGTCATAGTTTGGTGTCTTTTGTATTAAAAATTCCATTGATAGGTCGCGACCTATGTCAATATTTTGCCTTGAGAAGAAGGAGAACCAGAAAGAAACGAAATAGGCATGTTTTACACGCTTGAGATTCTCTTTTACCGTATGTCTGTCTGTCTCTTTCCTATTGGCATTTCTCGCTGATTATGCAATGCGAATTTGATTGTCTAAATTTAATTTGTGTGCTATCTATATTTGTATATGCACACAAACACACACACACACACACATTATTTGACGTATATTTAAATGAGGTATTCTGTGTATCTGTTTTTGTTATTCTTATTATCACTTTTTGGCTGCGCACCAAATAAAAAAAAAAACAAAAAACACAACAAAAAAATACCGCAAATCGAAATTAAAGAACTTGTTTTCTCATTTATTAAAATGTTTTTTGTTTTTTCTTCTTCAATATTTATGAAAGCTGTGGAGGAGTAGTAGGAGGTGGTCAAGTATTTTGTTTAGTTTACAGTTCGTTTAGATTATTTTTAGCAAACATAATTTAGATAATTGCTGAATGGAAAATGCATGGCATTGGAAAATAAATTCAATGAGCAGCTAAAATATTTTTTTCTTTCAATTAAATCAAGATATTTGTTTACGCTTTTTCTGTTATACCATTTAGTTCCCATTTACGTATCGATTTTACAAACTTGTCAATTGTCACATTGTTGACAACTGCTTTTATACATATGTATATGTTTTTTTTTTTGTCCTATATGCTATCTCGATATGTATTTGTTTGTTACACACCTTCTTTGACCATATATGCTATTGTCGATTTCATTGTCGTCATTATTGTCACTACATAAATGCCTATCTGTTTTTCTCTCTCTCATTTTATTGTAGGTAAATGAAACATCAACATATGAACAACTGCAGTATGGAGAATGACATCATCGTTTAAATGTTGCATCCATTTGTTTGTCCGAACCGTTTTTAGCTAACAACGTAGAGCATTTACCATCATCAACAGCGCAACTGTACCATTTTGGATTGTGGCTAAAAGGACCTCAAAGAAAAACACAAAAAAAAAAAAACAAAGAAAAGAAAGTGCTAGTCAAACATTTCTCCCACATCGCTAAGACTGCGTGTCTCCATCTCTCTCACTCTCTGTGTGTGTGTGTGTGAGTGTGTGTGTGCGTGTTAGCACACATTCCCATTGTCCGTGTCTCGCTCCAGCCTTTAATCGCCGCTTGCCACCCACAGTAAAAAGTCGGCAAGATGTTCATCGAAGATGATGCGCAGTAAGTACAATTTCCATTTAAACTATCCCCCATTTTTTATGTGCTTATATTTATATATCAAATTGGTGGGCGGGATATATGCTTGAATCGAGTATTCGTCTGAGAATCCCCCAAAACATTTCATACTTTATTTTTGTAATTTTCGCATTTAAATATATCTGTCAATATATATCTATCTATAAGGATATCTTTAATTACTACCATTTTATATGTGAGTTCAGTTTTCTCAAGCAACAGTATCAGTTAAGGAATTTTTATATGATGATCGCTAATTGGTTTTAAATATCTGTAGTATATTTGAACTTTACATTTTCCATTTCCAAGGCCAACGCCTACAAGTCCAATGTTTCCCAATCCCATAAAGCAATCGATAAAGAATCAGCAATCGAGAGTCGATCCAGCCATGTCCGTCCGTCTGTTTGTATTTCTGCAATTCTTATCAACGAATTTAGATACTGCGAGTTACTTTTAAAGAAAGATTAATTGTCTTTTAACTAGATTTTAGTGTTTTTTTTTATTTATTGTATGGAAACTAAGCACATAAGAATTGCATAATTAAATTTAAAAAAAATAAATCAGAGATTTTCATTTGAAGTTCGCGATAAGATTGTGAAAAGTAAATTCAATTAGTGAGTCACGTTATTAAAGGTTTCGTTGATCATATGTGACATTTATAAAACATTAGTATGCGATTAGTAAAAACATTTGTTGGGATTAAATAGCGTATATATAGTGAATATGACAGAGTATGATTGTTAATCAATTAATAAGCTTAGTTTAGTTGTTGCTGTTATCACTTGATGTGCCATTGATGCGTACTAAATCAGACACCATGAAATGGCCCGCAATCTGGCAATCGGTGCCAGTTCAACGCCTACAGACAGAGAGGTCTGGCAACAGAGTCGCCCCACTTCCATCCCCAAACCCCTTATCCGCGTGATGCGTTAAATAGATTGGCGTTATAATATTCGCCAAGTTCAGGGACGTGACGACGTCAATACGTTTGTGCTTATCACATAAACTGTTTCGGAATTGATTGTCAGTACACTGGGGGAAAAGATTAACCGGAAAACTAGAAAGTAATTCTGTTTTTTTTTTAATAATAATAAAGCAATAAATAAAAATAAAATAATAATATAAATAAATAGAATATTAAAAAAGAAACCAAATTAAATTAAAAGGGCAATTTGTTTTCAGAAATATTTTATATTATTAAGATTTTTTTTTTAATTAGTAAAAGTATTTTCCCATAATATTTCGATTAAATACTATTAATTTATTAAAGAAAAGCTAATGTAAAATGTAAAATGCATAAATCTTGCTTTATATAGTTTTGTTTTAAATATATCCTTGTCGATTTCTTCCCGAGTGTATATTTGGGTTATCCTGTGTGCATAACTAAAATGTTCGTTGATATTTCTGCTTGCCCTTTCATTCTCTGTAATAGAACACTGATAACATTGTGGGGGTAACTCTGATTGCTTGTCGTTTAGCACTATTTTTAGCTGGTTCGCCATAAATTTATTTGTACTGTCTGACGTGACCTTGAGCTGTTGCCAACAAATCGGCAAATCTGTGGGAGACAAATCAACCAGCTTGAGACTTTAAACTTTAATTATTTAGTTTGAAAACGTGCACTTCGAAAGCGCACAGGTTCGAAATTAAGTTCACTGCGAGGCGCTGATTAGCATATAGATTACACACACACACACATACACACACACACACAAACACTCACACACATGCACTCACACACTCAGTCTCACTATCTCTGTGGGCAACAGTTTTATATTATTAGCTGCAGGCGCCTTTAATTAGCTAAGTCGCTGCTTTTGAAGAAAATGTCTTAAATCAAAATATGTTTGGGGTAGATTTTAACTTTGACGGTTAGGTTTTTATTTTTAGCAATTGGTTAAGATAAATAGGATAAATTGGAATATCGAAAATGTTTTAGAAATAATTAAAACTGCAATCCGTCGGGTTTTCTTGAGCCAAATATGATAAGAGCAGTATGAGTTTAGATAATGCATTATTATAGCTGTGCCAGATAACTTTACTGTTCATTTTATTTATATAATAAAGTCAGATACCATCTCTATCATTCTAATATCAGCTGAAACCAGCTGGCTAAGAAACCATTGATTAAAAATGCTATGCTATTTCATAGTTTTTCCTTTATATAATAATATTGCTACTGCTATGAATTTAAAAAAAGCATGCATTTTTTTTTAACTTTTTGAACTTATTTATCTTGTGAAGAGTGTCGAGAAATGTTTATTTCTATAATAATAGAATACTACAATCTGTGCTGCAAATGAATGCTATAAAAATACTATAATCACAATTATTGGCAATAATTGGGAAACACTTTTTTTGCATCATAAATCAACTGATTTCTTATCAGATCAACGACTATGCGTATTTATTTTTATGACTCGCCCACCTAAAATACATCAGTATTTTTATGATTCAACTTCGGATCTAAATTCAATAGACATAGCTAGTTCGCCGCCACTCGAAACTGAGTCAAAGACTAGACCAAAAGTAGACCGATTGACACTCAGAAATGGACACAACTATGTGTGTGTGTGTGTGTGTGTCGCACTAGCAATCTATATGACGCTGATAAAAAACAAAAAGAATTATCAAAAGCAAAAACAAAAATGTTTTGCAACGTTATCAGCTTGTGAGTTTTAAGCTCAAAGCAGCCCAGTGAACAGCGAATGGGGTAACCCTTTTTTTTTTTGTTTCCAGTATTGGTCACGAAAGATTCGCCAACTGAATTCAGTTAGCTCTCAGCTTGCGACGGCGACAGAACTAGCAAAGTGGGTGACTCTGACACTGATCCATATATATAAATATATATATAAATATATATACATATATATATATATATCTGGGTGCATCATAAATACAGAAATTTGCATATCAATTATCACAGCTGCTGCTGCAACAAATTTAATTAAATTATTTTCCCATTTCCATTTCCTTTTCGAATTTTCACACACTTGCGCACAGAATGGACAGCTTCTGGGTGCAGAGTGCCTTGGGTGCGATCAAGGCGATTGCATTTGTCTACGATATCATAACGCTGCCGGTCTATTTGGTAATACAGCGGCCCTGGATACGACGACAGGAGTCGCGGCGAGTCAAGGTGAGTGTATTTTGTATTTGTATTTGTTAACTAGCCTTTTTCTAGTTTGTGATTAGAGAATTGTTATTATTATTATTTTTTATTTGTTGTAGGCTTTTTAAAATCGCGTTTCATAGTTCAATTGAATTGCATGTTTTACATATTTATTTATTATTATTTTTTTTTTATATTTTATTTTATATTTAGTTCTACCATTTAACAAAGTGCACACAGTCTCTCGGCAGTAGTCGTCGTATGTCGTTTTACATGTCATGCAATGCTTTCACCTTCAGCTTTGTACGCTTTGTAGACTTTGTCTAATTCAGTATCTCTTCACTATCGCAGTTCGACTTTGCCTGCAAACATTTCCTCTCTCTCTCTCTCTCTCTCGCTTTCTGCGCCTCTCTCTCACTCTTTCTCTCTCTCTCTCTCTCTGAGGCTGGTTCAGTTTGTGCTCGCCCTTGATTTGTCGCGTGTTTTACTATCTGTTGTGTGTGTTTTTCGTACCTTGTACCTAGAGAATCTAAAGAAATCTGTTATTATATAGTTGAAGTGCGAAAGTAACCATAAATATATATATATTTATGAATAATATTTTCGATCAGGATCAATATCCGCATTGCATATATTCTATTCTTCCTACCTTGTACCCAGAAAATGTTTAAGAAGTTTTTTTGGTTATTTTGTGTAAGTGCCAAAAAATCGTTGTTTCTCTGTTCACAAATAATATTTTTGATCAGCATGATCCTTCTCATTGTATATATTTAATTGCGTCAATATATTATTATTATTATTTGATGGAAAAATCTACAAATGGCAATTTTTAATGAATAAATGCGCAGAACAATAATTTTTTGTTTGTTGCTGTTTATCAATAATTTAGACAACAAATTTGATACTATATAGTCTCTCAATTAAGGAAGCCCCATTAATATTTACAAAATGTACAAAGTTGAAGGTCTTTACTCTTGAACCCATTATTAACGCATTAAAATTTAAATGTCGACTACAAAAAAATCGTATATTAGATCTGTAGAGCACAGTCAGTTGCCAAACAAATAAATTAAAGCAAAAATATTTAATCTTAGGTATTCCGCATAAATATTATAAATTCTATGTTGTTGCCGTTCAAGAATAACTTGAAGCTGATTGCTAATAATCGTAAATAACTTCAGCGTCAACATATTTCTTGCTAATTATTATTGATATAATTGTAGTTGATGTAGTCTTAAGGATGTACTTCCGACCGATTCACTCACGCGTGCGAAGTTTTCTTTGAACTGGCAATTGATAAACCCTTGTCGAACTCCAACAAGCTCCACAGTTTATTGCTCCAATCAGTTATCGGCTATCGATTCGATAACATGATAAGGAGCCAAACCAAAGAAAAATAATTGAATAATATTTGCCATAAATTTGATAGGCAAAGAAAATGAAAAATGCAATCGTATATAGAACTACGAATCGCGTGATAATACAAAATGCACTCTTTTTTTTTGGTGCTTTATGCATAGCTAATTGGTATTTTTACCCTCCTCCCAACTCACAGGCCACGCCCATCAGCAAGAAATTGTTGGTCGATGAGCCCACCAAGTACGCGCCGGATGACATTGAGGTTTTGATTTGCATACGTGTTTTTTCTATAACATAATTGGTTTTCTAAATGTTATTTGGTGTCGTGTTTTGATCAAAGGAATTTCACCTCTTCCCCCACCTTCATATATATCCTCAACACCTCAACGCGCTCATTGAGTCATTAATAAAATCGAGTTTTGACCGATACTAATTACACTCCCTTCACTTTGAGATCTCTGAGATCGTTCCCAATTCCAAAAGCACTTTACGTAATTCTCCCCAACTCCTGCCACTTGTGGGTATGCTTTGGTATCCCTGTCTGTCTCTTATGGTTTCCCTTTTGAGCATAACTTGCGTGCTATATTTCGAACTGATTGTAATTGCATTTTCATTGAATTGCAGGCAAAGATTATTAAGAACGATGACACTGAGCTAACCTACCGGACTACGGAACCGCCGCGCGATGTGCATGTAAAGATGCTGCAGGAGAATATCGATACGCTGGAGAAGGTCTTCAACTATGTGGCCAAGACGCACTCGACGAAACGGTGTCTGGGCACCCGGCAGATACTCAGCGAGGAGGATGAAACCCAGCCGAATGGACGTGTCTTCAAAAAGTACAACATGGGCGACTACAAGTGGAAGAACTTCATCGAGGCGGAGCGCATGGCGGCCAGCTTTGGCCGTGGTCTACGCGAACTTGGCCTGTCGCCGCGAATGAATATTGTTATCTTTGCCGAGACACGTGCCGAGTGGATGATTGCTGCCCATGGTTGCTTCAAGCAGGCAATGCCCATTGTCACCGTCTATGCCACGCTTGGTGATGACGGTGTTGCCCACTGTACGTAAAACAAATAAATAAATAAATATATATATGCTTTACTAACTGTATTTAAACTCCCTTTTAGGCATTACTGAAACTGAAGTTACCACGGTTATTACCTCGCATGATCTGTTGCCCAAATTCAAGACACTGCTCGCCAAATGCCCAAATGTGGACACCATTATCTATATGGAGGATCAGCTGCATAAGACCGAAACCACTGGATTCAAGGAAGGTGTCAAAGTGCTGCCCTTCGCTCAAGTTGTTAAAATTGGCAATGACAGCAAATTTGGTAGGTGCAAACGTGGGCGGATATTGTAAATTGATAGGTCAGATAGGGTCTAGCAAGTTTTTAATTGGCTTGAGAACTGTCGAACAAACGTAGTTTGTAAAACGGTTGCGTATGTATATATTTATTTTAAATATTTGCTAATTAAAAACAATAGAGTTTGATGAAACAATATTTATATTTATAAAGCAGATAAATAATTGAGAAGAGAATACTTGTTTGTAGTCTTAACGTGAAACTGTCGCAAACTCATTTTTAGTTATAACTAAACTCTGACTAACACTTCTTCCCCTATTCCCCACAGAGAATGTGCCACCAAAGGCCGAGGATAATGCGATCATCATGTACACTTCCGGCTCAACGGGCACGCCAAAGGGTGTTTTGCTGTCGCACAAGAATTGCATTGCAACAATGAAGGGCTTCTGCGATATGGTTACCATTTATCCGGAAGATGTACTGATTGGCTTTCTGCCACTGGCGCATGTCTTTGAACTGGTGGCTGAGAGTGTTTGCTTGATGACTGGCGTCTCTATTGGCTATTCGACACCACTGACGCTGATCGACACGAGTAGCAAGATCAAGCGCGGCTGCATGGGCGATGCCTCCGTGCTGAAGCCCACGTGCATGACTTCGGTGCCGCTGATACTCGATCGCATCTCCAAGGGCATCAATGACAAGGTTAACTCGGGCTCTGCATTCAGAAAGGCTCTCTTCAAATTCCTCTACCAGTACAAAGTCAAGTGGGTGCAGCGTGGTTATCAGACCCCATTCATTGACAGGTATGTCAAAACAGCTGGGCTACAATTGAGTTATAGTTGTATTTACATTTCGTTTTTGATTCCTCTTCATTGTGACAGTCTGGTCTTCAAGAAGGTGGCCAAGCTGATGGGCGGCAGGGTGCGCATTATTATGTCCGGCGGAGCACCCCTCTCCGCTGACACACACGAACAGATCAAGACGTGTCTGTGCGTGGATTTAATACAAGGCTATGGCCTAACAGAGACTACATCTGGCGCAACTGTGATGGATTGTGAGTGCATTGCTATCACAAATATTTAAACTGAACAGAATACTAAACGCATTCGATTTGGTCTTTCAGATCGTGACATGACCTATGGACGCACTGGTGGACCCTTGACCGTTTGCGACATTCGGCTGGTGAATTGGGAGGAGGGCAATTATCGCATTACCAACAAACCGTATCCCCAGGGAGAGGTGCTCATTGGTGGTGATTGCGTTTCGCAAGGCTATTACAAGCTGCCCGGCAAGACCAATGAGGACTTTTTCGAGGAAGACGGACGCCGTTGGTTCAAAACCGGCGACATTGGAGAAGTGCAAACCGATGGCGTACTTAAGATAATTGGTGCGTCCAATATACAATCGAATATACGTTCTGCTTTTAACGCACTCCATTTGTACACAGATCGCAAGAAGGATCTGGTTAAGCTGCAGGCTGGTGAATATGTCTCACTGGGCAAGGTCGAATCCGAGCTGAAGACTTGCGGCATTATTGAGAACATTTGCGTTTATGGGGATCCCTCAAAACAATTCACTGTCGCGCTGGTCGTGCCGAATCAGAAACACCTCGAGGATCTCGCCGAGCGACATGGTCTGAAAAACAAAACGTATGAGGAACTGTGCTCATCACCCATCATGGAGAAGGCCATACTCAAGGAAATTAGCGAGCATGCGCGAAAATGTAATATGGCCTTAACAATTCCAATATTTGATCAGATCTAAAATTCTAAAACTGTCACTCTTCTACAGGCAAATTACAAAAGTACGAGGTGCCCGCGGCTATAACGCTGTGCAAGGAAGTTTGGTCGCCGGATATGGGTCTGGTGACGGCTGCCTTCAAGCTGAAGCGGAAGGACATTCAGGACAAATATCAGCACGACATAAATCGCATGTATGCTTCATGAAAAGCAATGGACTAAACAGCGGTAGCATCATTGAAGCTAATTGTGTACTAAATATATATACCAATTGTTTTAGTATAGCTCAAAATTCAAAATTCATTGTTCAAAACCAAACTAGCTTAAGTTCAATGAGATCTTAAATCTAAAAACCAAAAAGATACAAACACAAACACACAAAAACACAAATACAAACACATCAGCAGCTTAGCCTGTATAGGTAACATTTTTATTTAGAATATTTTCTATTTAAGCAGAGAAAAGAGCATGTATCGAGTTTTTAGACAATGTGCAGCTTGGTTTTGTTACTTTTGTTTTGTACCATGCTGTTGATAATGATGATGATATGATAATGATTACGATTAAATGACAATGATAATGATACTGATGATAACGGTTATGATTCGATGTACAGTTTTCGTGTTTTTTTTAGTACATTTTTGAGGCAAGTGAAAATTACGTAAAGTAATACTTATTTTTATAAAAAAAAAACACAAAATAAAGAAACCCTAAACTAAGCTTAAGTGGTTGCCTAATAATTATGTACATACTATACATATACACAATCGCGTATATATCAAAATCTTAATTTAGATTTTATTATACATACATATATTTATAGCATACTTCTTTAAACTTAGTGTTATATATATATATATATGGCAAATATTGAAGTAATGAATTGTAGCAAACAAATAAACACACAAACAAAAACGACATGTTCTGAATTCAAATGCTAAATGCAGACAAACTATTACAATTTCTTTACTTCTTTACGGGACGTAAATGAAAAGAGAAAAGTGAAAACACAAAATACGAACCCTCCATATATAAATTTATACACAAAACGCATGCAAATGTTTACAACAAATATTGTAAAATATGTATTTTAGGGAAATTTAGTTAATGCAACAATGCGAATAAACTTTAAACATCAATTCTAATTACAATTCGAAATTCGGAATTCAGAATCAACATAAGAAAGACTTAGAACTAGAAGAATATTTAAAAATAAAAACAATGACTATTCTTATAAGATTCAATACAGATATTTTTCTTGTTTGTTTAGATGTGCAAATAGATTTGATTAACTTTTAGTCATATTTTTAGTTACTACCTATAAATGATAGGAATGTTTTTAGCAATTGACTATGAAGAGGTGCGTTTCTGAAACGAGAACGAAATATGTATTTGATAAATTCTAGTGAACGAGCTAACATTTTTAAAATATCGCAATTCATTTTGTTTACTAAGTATACACGTACACATACTATGTAATGCATATTTTAGATAGTTATTTATAATTATAGAATGCGTTACACAAAAAGTCGTAAACTAAGTTAATTTTGCATTATTGTACATTTGGGTGTATAAATGATGAGATGATAAATCAATAAATATTTAAATTTTTGAAAATATTCTTTAATTTGCTGAATCAGTAGTAAAACAACTATGCTGACAATATATACAGGCGTCAAATCGACTAAACCCTGCAGTACATCTTTTCTGTGACCGTATTGTCTGCTCATCAGATTATGATTATAATCTGATTATGATTACAGATTTTCACATTTAGCTGGTTTTCCCAAATCAAGGCTACTTGGCTGAATTTAATTATGCAGTCAGGATGGCCGAGTGGTCTAAGGCGCTGCGTTCAGGTCGCAGTCTACTCTGTAGGCGTGGGTTCGAATCCCACTTCTGACAAACATATTTTTGTTTGTGTGCGACATGTGGAATGGATGGGTGTGATGTTGTTTATATTAATGAGAGGGACTTTTACTTGGGTGAGAACAAGAAAATTGATATTTATAATTTGGATACGTACGAGATGTAGAACAATAGTCTTGTTTTACGTTTACTCATATTTTTAGTTAGCAACAAATAATTACCACTCAAACATCAGTAACAGATAATGAGTAAGTGGAACTGTTCCTGTGTGTAAAGTGAAAATAGATATAGATTATTGCATTATTGCATGCAGAGCAAAGAACTTTACATTTTAGTCAACTGTTACTAGCAGCGGTTCCTTATTTTCGCTATTAATTAATTTGATTTATTTTTAAATGCCGCACAAACTTTATATGTGTGTTCAAAAACCAATAAAATCCGTTACCAGTGTACAAACATCGATACTTTTTAATATCGACTTATCGGTTTGGTTCAAAATAATCGATGAGCCGCACGAATTTGCTGGCTGACAAAAGCTGATAGCTTTATGGCGCCAGTTTCATTTGTAAATTGAAAAAAATTGCTCACAAAATGAATATTTTACAACTGAAATGCATGTTTAGCCATGCAGACGAACTGCAATGAGGTTCAGACACTATGATTAAATGAGTTAATAGACTCAATGCAAATACGCTCCTTTATCGTCTTCATGCACAATCATTTCTCTCTGCTCTAATGCATTTAAATTCACTTTCGTTCAAGTTCAACTGTGTAGGTATTTATTTAAGTTGTGCACAAAAAAAATTCCAGCTTGCACTGCTGCATTGAACGCGCTGTCAAGCGTAACAACGAATCACACTTAAAGTTTGAGTTTGACGTCAAAAGAGAAAAAAAGAAATAGAAAGAAAAAGAAGTTGCCATCGTTATTCCAAATATTTAATGCTCTCTGCATATTCTAAAGGAGAACATCAGATAGAAGTAACACCCTTAGTCTTTAATCTGCCATCAAATCAAATGAATTTCAGCTTTCAGCTTCAAAGGGTTTAAAAGGGACCATAGATGGAAAATATTATGAATTTACCTTATGCGTTACACAATTCCCAGTAAAATGAAAACAATTCACAGACAAGCGAGAGTATAAAATGGAATGCATATCGAGAATGTGCAGAAAAGCGCAGTGTAAACAGGACAAGAAGAAGAAGAATAACAAGTGGAAGAATAGGATGAGTAACAACAGCAAACTTGCTGAGGGGGCAGTTGAATTAGGATTGAATCAAAGACTTGTGAAACTCGAAATGGATGCAACACATTTTTGCATGTTGTATTTGCATTAAAAGTTTGTAGCCTTAGGCAAAGAACATCATTCAAACTTATCCTTACCATAACAATGGATAATATAATTTAAGTTTGTTTTTCTCACATTCAAATAGCGTTTCGCAACACACAATAGGAGCGCTGTAATTGTTTGGCATACAACATTAATAAAAAAAATAATAATAAAATGGAAACAAAGCAAAATTTAAGCGCACCTGCTGCTTACCGCTCAAATAAATTCAATCAATATTAATTAAAATACAGGCATTTTCCCTTCGGTGCATTGCACGTTTCCAGTTTCCCTGGCGCTTTACATTTCAGCTTCTGGTTCTGTTTTGTGTTGGTCTTTCCTACTGGGTGGTTGGGGGTTGCGTTCCCTGCCTGCCAGCTTGCCTGCCTGCACCCGACTTTCATAATTCGACTTAAATGCTACGAGGCAATTTGCAGTATCTACAACAACAACCACAACAACCACAACAGCCACAACAACAACAGCAACAACAAAGCTCAAACAACATAGAACAAAGTGCACATTCCTGCCGCTAAAACACCGATTGCTGCTGCTGCTGCTGCTGCAGTTGCTGCGTTATTACAAATACAAAAACAAATTCTTCCCACACATATTGGACACGACTCAGCTAGACCACAAGCCCAAAGCTGGCCAACCACCACCCACCTATCAGAGAGAGAGAGAGAGAGAGAGAATGAGAACGAGAGAGCGTGTTTAACGTTGCTCAAAAGCAGTTTGAGCGCGACTTGTGAAATTATGTTGACGCATGCGCATTGAGTAAAGCTGACTATCAGGGTGGGCTGAGCTTTATTTTCGTAACGATTTACCTCGTTGGCCATTTTTGGGTGGTTGTCGTTTCAAAGCTCGGCGCGCGCTGTTGCGTCGCAGTTATTGTTCATGCTTCGTCTGACCGAAACGAGCCAGAGAGAGAGAGAGAGGGTGCTGCGTGTGGGTGTGTGTGAGAGCTACAGCAGCAACTGAGAGAAAGCTTCCAAGCTAATGTTTAGTGTTGTTGTTGTATTGAACAGCGCAATTCTACTTTCCAAAAAGTTCAATTGTGACGTTCTCCGGTGAGTGTGCAACTTTTTTTTTGCCAGTTTGACGAAAGACGTTCGCGAGTGCGGTAACGGGAAAACCATACTCAAATCGTAAACATCAATAAATATCGCGGGGGTTGAAATAAATAATACAAAAAAACATAAAGCGCAATAAGAAGTGTGTAAGCAAACAAATATAATTACTAATAATTACGTTAATTTAACAAGTTAGTGCAAGTGCAACATACACAACACAAATATTTGTCACCTTAAGCAACAAACAAACTTCGAGAACGAAAAGGACCGTTAAATAACGCGCGGTGTGCAGTTTTTGAGATAACTGTAACTTTAGCACGCCGTGTTGCGCTTTCACCCAAGGGTGAACACGGGCAACGTTCCACCCCACAACAAACCCTCAAAACCATTGAATAAACTTTCATCCCAATCGTGCTGTGAAAATATCACACAGAAAAACAAACGCTGCACAGCTAGTGATTTTTTTTGTTGGTTTAGTTTTTATTCGCACAGCGCAATTTTTGCTTAGTGCCCACAACAAAGGAAAAGCCGCGGGCGTGGCGACCAAGCATACAGGGAGACAGGGACAAGGACAGGGGCCGAGTCAGGGACAGTTACTGGGACCGGGACCGGGACAGGGATAACGGAAATAGACTAACGCAGCACATACGCAGCACGAAGCGAAGCACATCCAACGGGAATTGCAACGGGACATTCTCGTCGTTGCTGTTCGAGCTGTTAATTTGTCGTGCATTTGCCAACAACAACTGGGAAAAACAACGGGGCAAAAAAGTTTGTCAGCTAAACAAAAAAGAGTTTTTTTTTTGGCCTTTCGCTCGCTGGAAATAATAGGTGAGTTTTTTAAATAGAGATAGATAATTATCATCCATTGACTTTTCATCACATACTGTTTACAAAAATCTTTTTAATGATGATTACCTACACTGAAGTTAATTCACAGCGAGTAAGAGAGATAGAGTGATTTTCTGTCGCGAATTTGTGTTAAATTTTAAAGGTAAAAATGTCAATATTTAGATAACTGAAATAAAAATATTCTTAATAAATTGGTTTACGTATACGTACATATTTAAATATACGTGGCTGTTTAATGATGAAATTTCAACTCTTTAACAATGCATTTACCTTTTTTTTACATAATTTCATCTGAAAAAAATCAATAATTAAGGTTGATGTAAAATGTGTAAAACTGGTTGATAAATATAATTTAAAATTAATAATATGATATTAAAAAATACAATTAATTATTTTTTACCCATGCTTGTACCTCATTGAAGTTATATATATATATATATAAATTTATTCTAGATAGTCTCTTAATTTTGAAACTATCTCGATGAAACTTTTCACATAATCGTCTTTTTGCCGCAGATAGTACATATGACGGAGCTAGTAAATTGTTGTCATGGGAACAATCGGTCGAAAGATGAATTATTATTTGCTTAGCAATATTTCGAAGCCAAACTTACCAAATATACGTATTTTTATGAATTTTACCATTGGATGCTAACCAAACTCACCAGATATGTTATTTATTCCACTTAAAATTACCACAAATTATAGACGAGATGATTGTACAGTTTATTATATCTATATGCATAGCTACTTTGGGAACAAACGCTTGATTTGTTAGATTTATAACAACATTTTTTTTAACGGGAATTTGACTTCGTTCTTTATGTTTCACTGTGTGTACTTCAAAAAATGATCAATTGATGTGAGTAGAATTCGAAGTGATTAAGTCAACAGCTAAACAATAAAGTGGTTAAGGGCTTTGCCAAACAAAAGGTCGACAGTGTCATTTCGTATTAGGGCTGCCACCCTGCCAAAAGTGAACAAGGAGCAACCCAATCCGAAAATCTAACTTCAAATTCAAATCAGAGTTAGTCACATGTGTACTTTTGCATATGTGTATCTGTGTGTGTGTGTGGAGTGGACAGTCAACTAACTAAACAAAAGAAGGCAATTCTGATGAGCTTAAAATACGTTTTGTCAACATTAGGAAAAGACTCGCTGCTAGGACAGGAGGCTTGAAGGGTAACGGGGGGCTGAGTGTCATGTGTGGATAAGGGGAATGATTAATGCTGCAGAAATTGCTTTCGAATTGCCGTCCAAAACAACAGCAACAAATACCATGCCAGAGATGCGGATGTGGACATTGTGGATGTGAGAATGTTGCGGATGTCGCACTGGAAAATGCACAAAGGGAGGTGATGCGATGTGATGCGACACATAGCCTGTTGCCACCAGCCACCCTCAAGGACGGCAAGTTGCAGGGTCGAGTGCGAAACAACCCTCGTCTTGCTTGCAACTGCAACAAGGATGCATATTTCAAATTCAGCCTCGTATCTCATATGCATGTGCATACAAAATCTAGTCACAATATTCTAGTTGATAGAGCTCGACTAGGAGATGCCCTGAAATTAAATGTATTTCAACGATTAAATAACAGGTTACAAAGATTTATATCGATTTATATCAAAACTTACTATATGTATATCTATACTACTATTCCACACCTTTAAAATTGTATATTTTACTGCTATCGGAAATCCATGTGTATCAATATTCACGAAACGGGGGTGCTATCGATAAAATAAAATAACTTTGATCTACGAGAACTCATATACTAAATGGATGTCTCCAATTCTTTTAGTCTCTGAGATCAACTGGTTAATACAGTCGGACAGTCAGATATGGCCAGATCGACTCAGCAGTTAATGCTGATCAAAAAATATACTTCATGGGGTCGGATATGCTTCCTTGAGCCTGTTACATACCTTCACAACTTCATTATTATCTTTTCACCCATTTTTAATGGGTTCAGGGTATACAAAAGGCAAAAAACAAAAAAGGAAAGGCACCATGCGAATAACGGTAGCTTGCACAATCCCTGGTCGGCTTAAGTGCATTATCCTTGAGCGAGTTGACGCACTCGGTCTAACCCTCAAAATAATTGCATGCATCTAGCACCTACAACATGTCCGCCCATCCCCTCCCCTCCCCTCCCCCACCATCGCTGTATACTCGACTTCGTTGCTTTATCATCATCAGCGGAAAACAGCGTTTGTCTCTGCTCATCAATCATTATGGGATTCCTTCTGCTGCTGCTCTTTAAGCTTATTGACTGACATGGAATTCAATGTTTCTCATTCAATCAAAAACAATTTACTTGAAGTACTTCAATGACAGCCAAAGTAAGCTTACACTCAGAAAAAATCGACATGAAATTTCGAAAATCTTCATAAAAAAAATCTCCGAAACAAATAGAAAATTGTTCGCGTTCTTAGAAATAATGTCTGAATATATGACAAACAAATTCTTAAGATTAGAAAGAAGTATTTTCAATTTTTGAAAAATATTTTTCAAAATATAAAAGAACATTTTTTATTATTATTAGTTTATATTATTTAATTCTCTAATATTTGGTGACCTTTTTTTTATAATATAAATATGTTTTTCGCGTAAAATGTTTTTTTCACTTAACCTGGAGCCAGACCCTTATATACAATACAATTGGGATAATATCTGAATAATAAGATGATTTTGCCTACAAAAGAATGCAGATTTTATAAAATTCGGGACTATTTGTATTCTGAGTGTACTAGTTTAATTTAAATATGTTGAAATGCTTCATTTTATTATTATTTTGAATGAAGTAGACAATTCTAAAATCTATACCGATTTTCAAAAGGTAAAATAACAAAGAGTAGTTGAATATTATTTATGTAAAATTCATGCAAGTTCCAACTCCCTCGCAGCTATTATCTAATAAATGCAAATTTATAATCAATTAATTCGCTTTGAGGTCTACTGCGATTTCTGTTGTCCATTTACAAATTAAATTATGCGTATTGGGCACGCTCTCAGCCTGAAGATATCACCATTCAAGCAGTTCCGTCGAGTTCCTGGTCTTGTCTAACGATATTAGTGGCTTTATCTTTAGCGGGCGTGGCAATGCGGAGAGACTCGAGTCGACTTGGCCATTTTCACGTCGAGCACGTTTTACTTTTCCGGCTAAATTAGATTGCGTGCAGAATATGGGCGAGTTGAGCGCGGCAGGTGCAAGCTGACTCAGTGTAAAGAGGGGCAGCCGGTCAGCGGGGCATGGGGCGGCTTAAGTCAGCGCGTTCGTTGCGTGTGCAACAATATTTTCTGAGGGGTTGGCGTAAAAAAAAAAAATTAAAAAACTACGCGCTTTCCACAAGACATAGCTGGCCGTTGTTTTATTTTGTTGGGCCGCGAAAACTTATGCACAGAAAACTAATCTCTTTAGTGCAATTAATTATGTGCCGACGCCATTTTGTTAAACCCAAAGACCCAACATTCAGGGCATTCATTTTACACGGGCAGCTCAGCTCAGCTGTTCTGAAAAAAACTTTATCCTTTCAGTTGCCTGCTTATAAGCCAAACCACAAAAGCGACCATTTCATGTAACTTTCGCGTAGCTGAGAGATTACTCAACTCCCGGAACCCTTCGAAATAGCGTAACGAAAATTGTTGCACAGTTTCCAGCTCACTGTTGTGTGTGTGTGTGTGTGTTTTTTTTTATTTATTTATTTTTGTCTTTGATTAAAATCACTCCAAAAAGTTGGGTGTTGCACTAAAATCAATTGAAAACATTGTCAAACATGCAACGAAAATCCTTTTAATTTAAGCATCGTTTTTTTTCTAAAATAAAAATAAATTGAAGTTAATGGTACAAACTAAATGAAATTGAGTGAAAATGAACTAATTAGCGTAATTAAACTGAAAAAGTAAAAATAATATAAAAAATTATCCGTTTGAATATTTAAAATGATCATACACTCAACTCTTACAGATTGGGGAAACCCAGCAAAAACTCAATCAGACAAAAAATTGCAAGTAGAAAAAGGCGGTGAGAAAGATGGAGATAAAGAATGAGACAGAAAATAATAGATAGAATAATAAATAGAGATAAATCCCTATCTGGAGCAAGATAAGCTGGCCACACTTATGCACATTCAATTATATTAAAGGAAGAGAGCGTAATCAGTTGTACATGAAGGCAATAGAAAAGGGAATAAAGTTCCTAGTAGGTCTACTAGGAATATAAAAGTTAAGACGACCTAATAGAAAAGCGGAATCGATATCGCTATTAATGAACTTATCTAGGTAAATCACACTAATTAGTATCTTACGGTTAACCAATGAGGGAAGAAGCCAACTGGAATACCATGGCAAACAAAGATTAGGATCCCTTATAAAGTCACAAAAGGCAAGGAAAATGAACTACTTCTGAATGGACTCAATTCGATCTTGGTCCGAGGGAGGAGACTTGTCTAGATATTTCAAATAAGAAATATATTCATAAAACGAGATTTACTGATAATAACTTAAGTATAATTACAATTAAGTTCGTTGAACGAAGACCGTAAGTTGAAATGTTTCGAATATTAGAAATTGCTCTGTGATTTGCCTCGCTTTTAATTTATTTCATTAATTTTTGTATTATGTAAGCTACGTAACTGCATGCAATTAAAATTTTTGGTTTATTAAAGCACAAGTTCTGTCTTCAGTTTTGTAATGCAATTCATGCCAACTTGGATCACTTGAACATTATTATATATTCATGAAGGCATGTAATTGAATTCTGCTTTTGAGTAGTTTGCTCTACTTAGAGTTTCATACAATTAACGTAGATATATATATATATATATATGTATATGTATATGAAGAAGTGCATATTTTATGAACAGCAAAACTTTTCAAATACTGGCGTCGACTTTGGCGATTAAGTCTTTGCATGCAAAGTATTGTGAAACTAGTTAATGCAGAATATGCAACCACAAACCACAAGCCTAAACCAAAAC